GTGCGAGCGGGGTTGCGGCTGTGTGGAGCGAGTAGTTGAGAAGTAGGGCAAGTGTCGAGAGCACCGGCAGGACGGACAAAGACCGCATCGCAAAGAAATGGCGAGGCAACGCTTGCCAAAATTCAGTGGTGAAATTACTCGACACGGAGAGCGTGGGATTTCGGACCGGAATGGTGTTTCTCGGTAGTCTTGTCTCACCCGTATACTCGAGAGATCTTGGGAGATCACGAGTAAACAAAGATCTCAAATTCTCGAGACGTCAAAAAATTATCGGAATGTAGACGAAGAATAAAGAAGAATGAGAGAAGTCGAGAGGAGTTTGTTAGCTACACAGCGTCTCCCAGCCTCTCCCTCCGTATACCCAACCACCCGATTTCCTACCAATCGCCTTAATCCACCCAAGACTTTCTTTTTATTTCATGGTGGCTGGGTTTCACATTAAATCCATTTTATTTGATTCTGATTAGTCCAACACTATTTTCCCCTTTCGAATAACAACCTTGGAAGCCCTGAGTTGTCCCCTTACCTACGTCCTGTCAGAAGCGATCAACAGGTTGAATGCAGGTTTCTCCACCCCGCGTGGCAGCAATCAGCTTCATGTCCAACACCGCCATTTTAAAATTCCCCTGACTCAGATCTACTCGAAAAGAGGAACACAATTGGATTGTGTATATATTGGGTAGCCATCCGGGAATCGTAGTAAAGTGTGGATGTCGTGGATGTCGTGGATGTCATGGGAATATTCCGTGCCACCAATGACAGCCCAATGATGAATTGTCCAATCCTTTGAATGCCCTGGAGATCCGATCGAACCTGCAGCCAGACTCCAGGAAAGCTTCTGGAGGGACTTCCTGTCTATAGGGGCTCGCATCTCTCCAAGGGACATCCCCTAAAGTATCTCTACGTCTGACGGTGACTGAAATCAAAATATCAAACAGCTTTAGACTAAACAGTAAGTATACAACATAGAAACAAATTAAAAACGCTTAAAATATTATCTCTTCGTATCAAAGCTAGTTCCACTATATTCAATACCTACATGCAGGTAAGGTCCCCCTGTTTTTTCTAAGCAGTTATTTTGAATATACAACATAGATGTCTTGTATGCTAGGGCGGGAAAACTAACGAATACGCTGGAAGGAAAGTTAGTATGTGTATCTGTTTTTCTTATGTCGAATCAAACATACTCCGTACAGTGCGACGCATTAACTCCTACGCTACTAGGCCAACCATAGTTTCTAATAAATTCCCGAGGTCGTATACGTTGACATAAATCAAAGACAGTATTTGCCCAAACTGAGTCTAATGGAGAAGTACCACTATCTAAGCGACCCTACATTATTAATGCTTGTCTAAGAAATTCTCACACTCTCATGCCACTCACTTGCTATAGTTACATATTATCCCTTTTCCGGCTATGAAAATACCTTTAACGACTCATACTGCTGCATGCCACAAAATTACTTGTTGTTCGTATGATTGCTGGTGCTGAGCGTACTGCCAATTCCTTGCGTGAGGTATTCTTAGCTGGCACGTGGGTTGGATAGGATTCTGAACCCGGCCACATAACTCAGCTGCTATGCGTACTGGATGCGATGAACTGGGCAAACCTCGCGATGTTCTGAGAGTCCGAAGAGCAAGAATCTCAACACCGGGCAAAAGGTGCCCGTGCAATAAATAAATTCAAACAGGACCCAATGTCGTGGAGCATCTCCGGATGCGAGTAATAAATGTGGCAGGGTCAGAGGTGGCCTTCCGGTATGGGAGACCTTGATAGGATAGTGAATGCTCGACCATCCGTTTACCTCGACTTGCCAGGTGTTGCAATATGACCTAGTAATCTGCAAGCCTTGGACAACAGTCATCGATTAGCCTAAGACAATTTCCTTTGCCCTTTATCCTTAGAATTTAAGTATAAATAAGCTATGTAGTACCAAACATTGGCTTTACATGAAAAGGAAGCATTACATACAGAGAATGCTTACCAATCCACATACATGAATGTATGTATGTATCATTCAAATTCACATATCCAAACAACACTCCTTCCGGATTCTATCACTCCAATAGGCGGTCATTTTCTGCCGAAAAGTGAGGTTATAATGAACTGAACGAATAGATATTTCGCCCTTCGGGGCATATGGTCAAATGAAAATATACAGAGAAGATTAGCATGGCCCCTGCACTAAGGATGACACGCTCAATCAAAGAGAAGCTATCTATTTTTTTTTTTTTCTCCTTTCCATGTCCGTTATTGAGGGTATACAGGTGTGGGTCCTTTTACCAGCGTCCATAGATATAATTGGCCCTACGCTTTGGGTAAGTCACGTGCATATCAGATCTCCACGACGGGTGTACGAATCCCGGATTGCGCGAAATAAAAGTGGGGCGGATTTTCAACCATGGTCGAATACTTTTTTATGAACGCCATGGCGGATCCCATATCGGATATCAGACCACAGACCGCATCCACGGGTAGCAGAAGGTTCATCTACCCAATCTCTAGTGCAGCTACTAAGCCAGGCTATATTAAAGAGACGGTTCCTCACTAATTCTCGATCAAATCATAACTGTTTCTATGCGCTGAGCATGGAGCGGGCTTATAAGTACCTTGCATGTTTCAATCAAAAACAATTCGATGGAGCTCGAGGGGGAAACGACGTTTTTTTTACGGCATTTGATGCATACACATAAGTACTTATGTCTCAAGTGGAAGACAATTAGTGGCTCTAATTAACCGTTTAAGATGACTATATATTCTCGCCTCATCCTTCGGGTTAATCACCTAGGATCTCACATCCGGGCAGGAAAAAACCATCTCGCCCAAAGACATGAGCCCGAAAAGTACGATGTTTTACGTAGAAAAGATACGGACTAGATATAAAATAAACATGTGTACGTTGATTGACGGGGCGATGTAGTATGAGAGAAGATGCCGAGCAACGAGCGGATATGGAATCACTACAAGGAAGAACTACAGGGCCTATTTTTTAGTTATAATAAAGTGAACAGAGACGATAATTGGCATATACATGACGCAGATACACATGGTAATTTAGCCTTGGAGCTTTCCTTTTCTGTTGGGAATACATGGTCCAAATGGAAAGCGGATATAAATACTAGCTCCTTGATGGATGACGATAACCCAGATCTACTTTGGTCAGATTTAGCTTTTTTTGAAGTATGTATTCCGAGAGAACTATCATCTAAACTCGATGTTATATCATAAATTCCAAGGATTTCTGTTCGCACCACATGGTGATGTAAATCACAGGGGTAAAAAAGAATGTACAAACAAAAAGAACGCATCCAAATGTCGTTTCCAAGCCGTAAATCATATAAACATCCCCGCAACCCCAACTGCCACTCCCAATACCAGATCATGCAGACTTGACATCCGCACAGGGGAGGCATCATTCCCATTCGCATCTGCACTGCCAGTCTGTGTCGCAACGCTGCTACAATACGCCAAGTTGATACCATGACAAGCCTCCGCACTCAAACTCGAGCAAATGGAAGTCGCCTGCGATGCAGCCGTGATAGCCTGAACTGTCTTGCCTCCCCCGGCGCCGCCAATAGTGACACCGTAGCGGCCCATCAGATCGCCAGTGCACTGTGTGTACTCCGACTGACACACGGAGTAGTAAGACGAGCAAGTCTCAGCATTGTTGAAAGTGGTTGGGACGACGACAAATGGGTATGCGCCGTCCAATGTTGACCCGGTAACAGACGCTGCCCCGCTCTCCGTGGTGGTTGCGGATGTGCCGCTGGGGAACATGAACCCAGTGCCTGTACCTGTCGTCTTTGTGCCTGTTAGGCTGCCAGTGCAGCTTGCACCGCTCGCACAGCAGGCGATGTTGTTTGCATCGTCGCGCGAGCAGTTCGTTCCCTGCTTACAGCATGCGTTGGAGTTGCCCAGTTCGGTGCAGGGGTTGAAGCCGCTCGGGCAATTGTTGTCGTCTCTTCCGAGGATGCGGAGGACTTCAAAGGCTCGTTTGTTGGCTGTGGCCTTTTCTGCTGCGGTGAAGGGTGCTGTCTCTGTTGAGTGGACGGTCGAGGTGAGGAATGTGGCGGCAATCCAGATCCACCGGGAAGCCCGCATTCTCGGGGTCTGGGGGCGGGGTTGGAATGGTCGGTTTGGAGGAATGGACTCGAGGTTTCGGTTGAATTGATTGATTTGGGTGAGTTTAGTGGTTTATTCTCATGCTTCGTTTCGTCGTTGGGGGCGTTATCCGGGGTTGGACTTGGGTGTCAACAAACTACTCAAAGGAGTAAAATTAGCTTAGCTTTCATCGGTCGCGAGGGGTATAATTGAAGACTTAGTTTTTGAACATACCTGGATACTTGCAGTCTGAAGGGAAATTTTAGGGATTCTAGAAAAGATCAGAGTTTACAGAACAAATGATGTAGTTCCTTAGTTCTTAGGTCAGGTCACAAATCTCCACCGAGGATGCCCCAGCAACCGCAGCCCGACCCGAAGCCCTGAGGGTATATTAAATTCTATTAATGGGAGCCATGGTAATATGTATTAAACCAATTTCAATAACTACTAAAATATACTCCGTAAAACAAAACGTGGGACACAATTTGGCACCCAACTACTGGATACTGCGGTTAAATTGTTACTTGGGTGCCTTCAAGGTTGATATTGGGCATCTAAATATATTTGCAGGCTATTCTTGGCCGGTCTCTCCAGGTCGCGAGCCACAGCCTATAAACCTCTGTCGAGCCGTGAAAGCCATAGTGTCGTGCGGAACTTCCAAACCAGGCGCGATAGCTTTAAAACGGAGATTCTTCACTTGGTCAAAACCGAACGAATAGAGCACTCCGGTGTAGACGCTGCATCAAGGTCTATATATGTGAAAAGCGCATCTCTAGGGATAGATAAAACCGATCCAGAGGGTATTCTAGCTTCCGTAGCCGCCGAGGAGCAATATATCGCAGCCACAGTGCTATTGACCTGACGAGGAGGATATGGAAGCTAAGACCAAAAGCCCGACTTACGATCGGAACCTTGCCAGTTCTTCGGGCACTTTGCACTCTGGAAAATTAGCCGTGATTTTACCGGTTAGAAGCATATGGATCCAGTTGCTAAGCATCCTTTGTAGCGGGAACCACATATCCTCATCTTCGGCGATCGGCTGTACGCTACCCAGCGTCATTGGGAAAGCAGCGCGGTGCAGCTGCTGGTCATAGACCACGCCGGCACAATGCGAGCAACTCAGGCATTGTGCCATAAATAACAATAATTAGTTCTAGGTCAGCTAGGTTCGTTGTCCTCATCTGGAAGGATTTCGTCGCACAACTCCATTGAAATATCATTCACCCAGTAAAACAAGCCTGGCTCAGGCGAGTATATCGAAGCCAGGAAGGAATTAACTGACGGGTGGAGTCGTCTCTCGCGAATAGCCTGTGTATCTCCATCTGCAAAAACAAAAGATTGAATAGCTAGCTCTCTTATTTGTGGCGAGACATCTATCTATACACAACCAGGTAGTTGTGTAGCCTCGCACAGCGTTCGTGATTGAGGGGCCATTGAGGCGCGCGGGGTTGGCTTCCGACAATGGGGCCTCTTCGAAGTTGAAGATCTGCTGCGGTGTGGTATTCATGGTGAGTCGAAATGGTGATGCTTAGAGAGGGCAATCTTGAGATTTAAGTGCGATACACTGTGACAACAGGGAGATAAACCTGAGAAGGAAAGCTAACCAAAAAAGGAAATTCACAAATGTATATTGGTTTCTCTCATTGGGGTACCCCAGTGTGTGACATGTGAGGGGCGTTAGGCCGGAAACCTGCCCTTTTTTCTTTTTCGGTGTTGTATCATATTTTCTTGTCTTAATCTTTTTCCTGGCCATTATACCCCTACACTAGAAACTTGTCATGGCTTCCACTAAGTCCTCTAATATCCCGGTCGTGGACTTTGCTGGCTGGAACTCGGAGTCCAGTAACCAGCGAATCGCGCAGGAAATTGTCGCTGCCTGCAAAACAGTGGGCTTTGTGTACATCGTCAACCACTCATTGCCAGAGACGATGTTAGATGAGGCATTTAACTGGTCGAAGCTATTCTTCGAACTGCCACAAGACGAGAAACTCAAAGCACCCCATCCAGAGGGATGGGCGGTTCACAGAGGGTATTCTTGGCCCGGGCTGGAGAAGGTGTCACAGGCGATGAGTACCGGTAATGACCAGGAAAGGGCCAACCAGCTGAGAGAGGTTACAGACATCAAAGTGAGAACCCGCTGTGTTTGTTCACGACCTTACACATCCCAGTCGGCACCGAGTTCATCTATGTATAATTCTGAGCTTCATTGACTTGCCACAGGAAAGCTATGACATAGGAAGCGACGAGAATACCACCCAGCCTAACCAATGGCTGCCCGAGCACAGTCTCCCCGGATTTCGTGACTTCATGCTCCGCTTCTACTGGGAATGTTTCCGTGTCGGAGGGGAGGTCCTACAAGCGCTTGCTGTTGGTTTGGAGCTAGACAAGAACTATCTGCTTGAGAAACACTCAGGTCATAATAACCAGCTGCGCCTACTACACTATCCACCTATCCCGGCAGAAGCAGTTGAGACAGAGCGTGCAGCTAGATGCCCCGCACATACCGACTGGAGCTCGATCACCTTGCTGTTTCAAGATGATTGTGGTGGGTTGGAAGTCGAGGATCTTTCATCACCAGGGACATTTGTATCTGCGACGCCTATCAAGAATGCGATTGTGATGAATGTGGGGGATCTTTTGCAGAGGTGGAGTAATGGTTTGTCGCTCGGTATGCTCCAGTCTGCCCTCAACCGCTGACTTGTATAGATCTTGTGAAGTCTACCAGCCACCGAGTCACCTTGCCGCCTTGTCCTGATAGGTTCGAAGGAATTGATCGTATGACTCGTAGACGGTTCTCTATTCCGTATTTCATGGCACCGGATCCTGACTCGGTGATTGAATGTATTCCATGTGTCAGAGAAGGTGCTGCAAAGTATGAGCCGATCACACAGGCCGGATACAACCAAATGAGGGCTTCTATGCAGTACTGATAGTAGAATCAATTGTTGGCTCACTTCTTTTTTTGGGATTAGAAAATAATCCCATTGGTCACTTTCCTCCGATTCGTCTATAATTGAAGCCATTGTGCTCCTTCCCGATTTCTTTGCCTTCCCCCTCCTCTTTGGCTATCTTTTGTGGAATCTCAACCTTCTACACAGCATCCAATGTATTACTGTCGCTTCCAATGTACTTCTCATCTATTTCGGAGATAAAGAGCCTTTGCCCAAGATGTGACTTTATACTTGACCTTGGCGCTGATCACTCCACCTGACTAAGAGCCAATCTTGGCGCTCGCCGAAATGGATCAAAGTCGCGTCCCTCACCAGGACCCCGACCGCGTGGCCACCATGTACGGCGAACTCGGCAACAAATTGGTACGTGTGCTATAGATTTATCCTAATCTTGGGCATTGAAAATCCCAACCCCAACATCGATCGCCAAATAGCAAAACAAGAGAAAAAAAAGCAACTCGCTGACGAACACCTTACCCGCGATAGGTCCAACATGCGAAACGCACCCAATCCCTCGCCCATCTACCCCCCTACCAAACGGAGATCGTGCGCGCAGTAACCCGCGAAGTCCGCGATCTCGACCGTGATGTCACCCGTCTCTTAGAGCCCTTCGAGGGCGCATTCAACCCCTCGGCCGACCCAGCCATCGCCTGCGCCCTACTCGTCGACCACCTGTGCATGCGCCGGAACAAGCGCTGCCTACTCGCATACCACCGCGTGCGCACAGAGAAGCTCGAGGAGCTTTGCTGGACGGGAGTGGATATCCTCGAGCAGCAGCAGCCGTCCGAGGACGGTGGGGCGGCTCAGCATACGGCTCTCGGTGCTAGCGGGCATAGCTCGCTGAGTCCTGAGGAGGAGGAGTATTTTCGCCAGTACGGGGATATGCTCGCTGCGTATAAGGGCCAGTGGACGGATATTGATTTGACGGGGACGTTGGAGCCGCCGAAGGATTTGTTTATTGATGTACGAGTGTTAAAGGATGCTGGTGAGATTCAGACTGAATATGGGTATGTTTCCCCCTCCTTTTCTTTCTGATATTGTTTGGGCACCTGGTGGCTAATTCTGGTTTAGTGTGATCAACTTGACTAAGAACAGTCAGCTCTATGTTCGTCAGGGTGATGTGGAACGACTGATTGCTCAGGGCTTCCTGGAGCGGTTGACTTGAATGCTAGTTGGGACTACCCGGCTGCTTCTGGTTATGAGTACAAGAAACATGAATTGGCGTTCGCTATCTACGGTGGTTTTATGAAGGGACCATGTACTTTGAGATACCCCCGCCGTTAGCGTGTCTAGACCTAACGGCCAATATGACGATTTTCTGCATTGTAATAGTGTGACACCAGTCTGGTGCTGTATGACTACCGATTTAATGACTCTTTTTGTTTTGGCCCTCGAATTTATTCTCTAGGGCTAGATTGTCCTACGGTAAAAGACCAATCGAGGTGGAGCCTACCAAGGTAGATCCAGTCTAGACAATCACCTTGGAAAGGTGAGAAAGAATTAAGCTATCGAGGTAATATGTCCGAAGCTAGGCGGTTTCTTTTAGGTAACCTTGGGAAATATCGACTAATAGCCATACAGCTCATTGGCTCATGGCCTTATGCAAGCAAATAACAAGGCTTGAGGCTACTGCATGGCGCCAATGCCGAGAACGCCGATCATGTAGTGTATTGCACTGCGTCCGACTACGGAGATGTAGCTTGCTGCATACTATTTTAATTACGTGTATAGTTTCAAAAGCCGAGTTAGTCTATAGTTGGTGCAGTAGTGCATTTGAAGAGACAAGGATGGAAGCCATGGGGGAGATGGTGTTTTACCCACATGAATACCTTAGTCTCCCCGCACAGACCACCTCCCACTATCTTCATCTGTATCAGTCCGGATGTGGTTTAGCTCGACTGTTAGGGAGATAAGAGCCGTTTAGTCAAAAACTCCGGTACCTCGGGGGTTTCTTTCTCTATCTGGTCCGTTGGTAATTCATATTTGTGTTGATAACTATACTTCCATCTTCTATACATATAATCCACGGAGCCCCTTTCTGTGCAATGCTCGCCTCGGTTGCGTCATCTGTTTGTCCAAACGGCCGCCCCATGCGCTAGTGGCCCCGTTTATCTTCCGAATTTCCTAACTTTTTCGACTTCATCACTTGGTTGGACAGCAATTGCGCGAGAAACCATGGGGGTTTTGCAACCTCGTGGCCGTCGCGACTCCCGCGCATCAGCTCTGTCACGCAATCTGATGTTTGACCGCGACATCCATGGTAACGCCCCGTCAGAATCGCTGGTGGAACATGCAAACCTAGGCAGCCCGCCCGGCCCAATGGGAGCGGAATCATCCAGTTACAATGGATCGACGACGAGAACACCAAATCGTTCATTTTACCACCGGTCCTTCAACAGCAATATGGGTGGGTCATTGTGCATATTGTATAGTTGGAGACATCGCACGATTTTTTACTGATCATTTGACCTATCGCAGATCCAGCTCATTATGCCTCGGACGGTCTCCGTGACCAAACCGCGGAACTCGCTACCTATGGCCTATCGCTGAATAAAAAATCCCTCTTGAAGGACGGGCCCGGCTTACCCCCCAGCCTTGATATATTCCACGGCAGCCAGAGGTCTGCAAGTTACCCCCAGAATGAAGCTACAAACTCTCATACTTCCGCGGGGGAGGGGTTGTTGGAGCCAGGATATGCATCTGTCGACCCTGCTTCAGCTCCAGGCTCTTCGGCTTTGACAGAGATGATTCGCCGTCCATTGACGGATACGGAGGAGGACCAGGTCACGCAACCCGGGACCGACGATATCTCCTTCCCCCCATCGTCGGCCATCTATGACGAACCGGAACGAGACAATGAGCACACCTCGTTATTATCCAAGTCCCGATCCAAATCTACACAAAATTATGGCAGTGCAGGCGACGCCGAGAACCAAGGGCCGGCTTTCAAACGGTCTCCAAACTTAATAAAGAAAGGAATTTCCTCTGTCACCTACTATAGTCGAACCCTATCGAACCCAAAGTCATGGGATAGGCGAGCCATATGGAAAGAGGCTGTGGTATACCCTGCCAGTATGGTTCCTGCCGTATTGCTAGGACTATTGCTCAACATTCTTGATGCCTTATCCTATGGAATGATCTTGTTCCCTCTGGGAGAACCCCTGTTTGCTCACCTGGGAACCGACGGTATCTCGATGTTCTATGTCAGTACTATTATTTCCCAAGTGGTATTCTCCTGTGGAGGCTCGATCTTCAAAGGAGGAATAGGAAGCGAAATGATTGAAGTAGTACCATTCTTTCACCAGATGGCTTTCACCATCATGAATTCAATTGGAAAGGACAACCCGAAATCAGTGATTGCAACGACCATCCTAGCCTTCTCGGTGAGTTCAATTCTCACTGGCTTGGTGTTCTTCTTAATGGGTGTCTGCGGGCTGGGATCGCTCATTGGCTTCTTTCCCCGTCATATTCTCATCGGATGTATCGGTGGTGTGGGCTACTTCCTTCTACAAACTGGAGTAGAGGTTTCAGCCCGGCTTCCCGGGTCTTTTGAGTACAACCTTCCCACGATCCAGAAACTTTTCCACCTTGATACTTTCCCTCTTTGGATGATACCCCTGTTCCTTGCAATTGGCCTTCTTGTTCTTAAGCGATTTGTTCGCTCAAACTTCCTTGTCGGTGGATACTTCATTGCCGTCGCTGCAGTGTTCTACATTGTTATTTTAAGTGCTAGGATCTCTATGGGTGCTCTACGCCACAATGGATGGGTTTTTGCTGCTCCGTCTTCGAATAACCCATGGTATCATTTCTATTCTCTTTATGGTGAGTCACTCGGCAACGATATTTTGGGAGTTGCCATGCTGATTCGTTACAGATCTCTCGGAGGTCAATTGGACTGCCTTTGGTGAAACAATCCCGGCCATGTTTGCCTTGACCTTCTTTGGTGTGCTTCATGTACCCATCAACGTGCCCGCTCTCGGTATTTCCACCGGTGAAGACAATCTCAATGTGGACAGAGAGCTCATGGCACATGGCGTGACAAATGCCCTTTCAGGATTTGTAGGCAGCATTCAGGTATGTGACCACCAGTGATAGAGCTGTGGCCAATGAGCTAACGAAAACAGAACTATCTTGTCTATACCAATAGTCTTCTCTTCATTGCAAGTGGCGGATCATCTCGGTTGGCTGGTCTGATGTTAGCCGCAGCTACTGCAGGTATCATGGTCATTGGCCCAGTCATAATCGGCTATATTCCCATCATGGTTGTTGGCGCCCTGATTTTCCTGTTGGGCATTGAGCTTTTGCAGGAGGCATTGGTGGACACATGGGGAAAACTCACCCGGCTTGAATATTTAACTGTTGTCATTATCGTCGTTACGATGGGTGCTTGGGACTTCGTGGTTGGAATCTTCGTTGGAATCATTTTGGCTTGCGTAAACTTTGTCGTCCAAACATCTCGCAAATCCGCCATTCGAGCAACATTCTCGGGTGAAATTTCCGGATCGACGGTCCGACGTCCTCCTATCCAGCAACAATTCCTACGCGAAGCCGGACAGCAGACCCTGATGATCAAACTTGGTGGATATCTATTTTTTGGAACCATCGTGAATGTCGAGAACACCATGCGTGGCCTGATCGAGGAGGAAGCCTTCGACCGGCGTCCCATTCGGTTCGTCATTCTCGACTTTTCTCGAGTCTACGGACTCGACTTCTCAGCAGCAGAAGCATTCACCCGCATCAACCGCGTTCTTCAAAAGCGCAACGTACAGATAGCCATCTCGGGCCTGAACGTCGAAGGTGATGTAGGCAAGTCCCTACAAAACGTAGGACTTTTCGAGCCAGAGTCCGGCGTCCCCATTTTCGAAGACCTCAACTCAGCTCTTGAGTTCTGCGAGAACAACTACCTGAAAGTCTTCTACAGCCGCCAGGAAGCACTCGCCACACCCACCGACCCAACCGCAAACTCCGAGCTCCTCCAAGTACCCGTCTCAGTCCCCGTGCCCTCCGGACCCAACCCCCCCACCCTAGCCGACAACATCGTCAGCTCCCCCCGTCGTCAGTACCTGCAGCGCGTAGCAACCTCAACCATCCAAGCCCACGAAACAGAAATGATGGCTTCCCCCGCCTGGTCCGCCATGCGCCAACCACTCCCCCTCCTCCTCCAAACATTCCAAGGCCTCTCAACCGAAAACGAAGACTTTTGGTTCCCCGCCTGCGCGTACTTTTCCCGCGAATCCTACCCCGCCGACACAGTCCTGTACCACGAAGGCGATGCCCCGCGTGCCTTCTACCTCCTCGAGTCTGGCATGTTACGCGCGGGCTATGACCTCCCGCAAGGACGCTACTTCGAGCTCATTGTCGCTGGTCGACCGTGCGGCGAATTGCCTTTCTTTAGCAATACGCGCCGCACGGCGACGGTCAAGGCTGAGCGTGATTGTGTGGCCTGGTGTTTGACGGGAGTGCAATGGAAAACGCTGCAGGAGAAGGAGCCGCGCATTGCTCGTGAGTTGTTGACTGTTAGCTTGAAGTTGACGACTGAGCGCATGGATAGTATCACCTCATACGTTTTGACGATGGCAGCTTGATTTTTATTTTTCCTCGTTGGCTTGTTTACTGTTTGCATCTAGCTTGGTGGTTGTCTGAGCGAGTTGTTGGGCCTCGGATTTTAATGTTGATATTCCCGGACTTTTTTGGTTTACATATTCATTAGTACATAGCAGCTGAAGCATGCATGCATACCGATATTTTTTATAACATTGGAGGTAGCGAAATTTCGCTTTTAGAGCCTGTTGCGTAACTGATCTCATTGTATGCTTGAAGTTGCCTAGCTAACTAAGAGAGAGAGAGATGGCGAGATAATTTTACATCTTCGGCTCAATCTCTACGTCTATATGCCTGTCAATGCTAAGAAGCATACTTTTCATTGCCTATCAGAGTGCCGGGGCCGAGATCGAAATGTGCAATTATAGACATTGAAGATTGTGAATCCTTCCCGATTTGGCCGCGTATCCGACTACAACGGGAAAGGTGTATTTAGCTTCGGAAGCAATGGCATCGCGAGCCAATTCCGAATTATCAATGTCACATGTGAAGGACAAGTAATTCAAATTATAGTAGACGGTTTTTGTAAAGCATAACTCGCAAATGCTTCAGGCTAAAAGCAAAGTCGACGTAGCTGGAAACTCCCAATTATATTTTCACAAAGCGTTGACCAAAGTTCGAGATATGCAAGTTGAGTCTGCATAGTATGAGAAGGAGGGAGATGGACTTTGATATTCGTCTGGGGGAGTTAGTAGATGGTGCTTGGAATACAGTACAGAGACTGTCTGTAGGGAAAAATAACTACAATTCGAGATTCATCTGCCATGAGATGCTTCATATAAAGCCATGGTACACAAATTGTACTTTAAGGTAAGTGATGGCAAGCAAGTGCTGTAGGAACATAGGGATTGACCACACTCTTATCCCCATCGAATAACAGCCTGAATAAGACCTCTTTAAGACACTCTACTCCTTGTTTGCCACAGCTATATGCATGAAGTCTATAAAACCCCCCCACGATGGCCAGTATACTTTCTCGTTCCTTGCCATCACTTCACCCTGGACATCTTTCTCCTTTCACATCTTCGCTGCAAGCTCGTCCATCCATCAGCCATCTGGACAGGATGGAGAAAGCTCGACCACAGTTATCCAAAAGCGACTTTGTCAATCCGAATGTATTGAATACTGCGAACCCGCATCCAGTCTGGGGCTATGCACATGGTGAGTACAGAATATAAGTAATTTGTTCTGGCAATAGCAACATATTAAATCTTCATAGGACCTATTCCAGATAATAACCCTTATTGGAAATTAAAAATGAGCCGACGTGGACGCGTGTCGAGGCGTGAACAGGGGCTTGCTCTTGCCAGTCGTAGGCCACAAGCACCCGTGGTCACCCTGAATGGTCATATCACCTTGGTGTATCATATGAGTTCCTCAATGTTCTATCAAACCTAGGCTAATCAAAATAGTTGTGATATCTCGGTTCATACCGGTCAAATGTGCGGGATCGGTTTCCCTCGCAAAAGCCGTCTCACCACCCATATTCTTTCCTTCCATGCTGGTGCCGGTGCGTACACACATACATATTCAGTTGTTTTGAACTCTGTCAATTCCGAGTTTATACTGATAGTATATATCCTTGGCCGTCCAGGAAAAGATTGCTGGAGATAACGCGATGAAACGCTGGGCGTTGATGGGAGGCTGGCGTGATGCCCTTTATCTTAACGAACCTGGCCCGCAGAACGTTTCCACCTCTCTCCTCGGCTTCTATTGTGATGTGTTGGAGGAAATTGGGTGGGGCGGTGAATTATGCATATACTGGTGACACGTTCTACCAGGCGCACCGATGCTCAGTTTGCTGCAGAGTATGGAACCCAATTTCACCAACCCAGACATCGAGAGTGGCTTGAATCCAGAGACGTAGGTATGCTTCTAAGAATCCAAGAGAAAGTATGTTAACAATATTAAGCTCGGAATCTATCTTCCTCCTGATCAACTAATGTCCTTGACTGCGCCGTCACTAACCCGTGGCGACGACTCCGGAAACTGCTCTAGATACGGACAATCTACCCAAACCGAACCTTTATCTGACAGTGATACCGATTTCAGCCCTGATTTTACATCTGGATCTGGATCTGTACCTGATTGTGTCCAAGTCTGCGTCCGAAGTTGACTCTAAGCCCGAGAACCTAGCGGAGTGGCCATTTGACGCTATCACTGATATATTTACTGGGCTGTATCTACCGTTAAGCGAGTTAGACGCGGTATATGGCCCTATGCCCGAAGAAATGGATTGAGTATGGATAAGGAAGGAAGATTGTAACCAATCAGACTATGGGTGTTTCAAACCTGGTTGATCGCCGTGGCAAGCAATTTCTGAGCGAGTTAGTTGAAATGTGTCTGAGACGCCTCTGGTCTGTCTGATTGAGAGCATAAATCGAATTCAATTTTATTGGCAATCGTTCATCAATACTAGCATTATGAAATGTAATTATAATCATACCTAGTCAGGATCACATATTATGATCGGAAAAGCACATTCTTGCCTGCTTTATCACGCTGGTATGAACGCCTGACTTTTGATCTCATCACTCGTTATTCGACTCCGACCCGCTTTCAACATATCTACCTTAATTGAGGTCGCGTAAAGAAAAAAAATTAGGTAGCTTCTCTTTGATTGAGCGTGTCATCCTTAGTGCAGGGGCCATGCTAATCTTCTCTGTATATTTTCATTTGACCATATGCCCCGAAGGACTATGCGTTCAGTTCAATATAACCTCACTTTGCGGCAGAATTACACCGCCTATTATGTACAAACGAAACTTCCGAAGACATTTGTATACGGAGACCAGTTTTTTTAAATTTTCTAATTTTCTATTCGATATGAAGAGAGTTATCATCAGCCAGAGCTTTAAATGACTATCAGATCAAAAGCTGCGACTGAAATCGCTATCTGGCAGATATAAGTATACCCATACCGAATTTGACTACAATTCAGAGCCAATATTAGAGCGAAATTAGTTTCTTTGATAATACTACATGTATCATAACTTGTAAAAAAAAAGACCAAACCTGAGTCTCCAAATCAGATAGATCAAACTAGATCTATCAGAATTCCAATCTCCACGCGCTGTTGTGCACGTGACCCGGCGTTCCTGACACGCGTGGGCGCGTCCCCGATTGCCTCATTTTGATTCTACACTTGGATGTGACTCTCTTAGAGATATTCCAATCAACGCCCCAGTCTTCAATCGCATAATTTATCCACAATTTTGGCCATGGCAACTGGAAACGGAGAGTCCAAGCTCTTCGAGCAGTGTTGCCTCTGTATTGTATGCTCCAAGGATCTCTCGAGTGACTCCGCAGAGCAGGTAAGTGTTTTCCCGCCATTAGTACAGCTTGGACTAGACTGACAAAATAAAATTGCCTAGCTGGCAACTCTCCTCGAGCAAAATGGCGGCGAGCCTCTGATCGTCGAACCTGGTGCCGAGGTCCCCGATGTGGCCAAGTTCAGCCATTTGATTTCTACCACAATTGACTTTGAAGCCTACGATACTACCTGCGATGCGCTGATCCCTGTGGTCAAGCCACAATGGGTGAATAACTCATTGACGAAGCGAAAATTGGCAAACCCCCGCCAATACAGCCCAGACCCGCGTCTGTTCATGAACGATGTGGTGGTTACCTGCGGCGATATCCCCGAAGGGGATAAGGATGCAATCATAGGTGGTGTGGTTGCGAAAGGTGGATTGTACGCCCCAAGAGTTTCTCAGATGGTTACACACTTGGTGGACCTCACGGCCGATTCCGACAAGGCGCGCATTGTCCAGGCGAAGAAATTGAACGTGAAGATTGTACTGCCGCACTGGTGAGTTTCATGGCACAATAGTTAGAGACCCTCGCTGACTGAGAACAGGTTTGACGACTGCCTTAAACTTGGTCGACGAATTGATGAACGTCCATATACACTTCCAGACCCAGAGATCTTACGCGTGGGTTCTGATACTCCAATCCGATGGCAAGAGAATAAGGATTTGGTCGGTGCGTCGACAATAGACCCGTCTAAGCTACCCGAGCCATCCAGTTTGGCAGATGAATCAGGCCAACGGAATGTCTTCGAAGGGAAGTCTATTATGCTATCTCCGGATCTTGGAATCGGCTCGCATTTGCAGGAATCAATCAAAACTGTCCTGGAACAAGGCGGCGCCACAATGACATCAAATATTGATGGAGCAGATATGTTAATTTGTCGTTACCGAGAAGGATTTGCGTATCGCACGGCATCGCGACTGAACATAGACGTTGGAAACCTCGCATGGCTCTACCGCCTCATGACATTCAACACATATACTTCACCCCTTAGACGACTACTGCACTACCCGATTTCTCGCACTGGTATCCCCGGGTTTGACGGCCTGAAGATCAGTTTGTCCAATTATGTTGGCGAAGCAAGAATCTATTTGGAGAACTTGATCGCAGCAGCAGGTGCAGAATGTACTAAAACCTTAAAGCAAGAAAATACTCATCTGATTACGGCCCATGGAACAAGTGAGAAATGCAATGCAGCGAAGGAATGGGGCCTTGAAGTTGTCAACCACCTGTGGCTGGAGGACAGTTATGCAAAATGGAAGCTACAGCCGGCCTCAAACCAGCGCTACAGCCACTTCCCTCTGCGAACTAATCTCGGAGAAGTCGCAGGCCAGACCCAGCTCGACCGCAATGTTTTAGAACAGGTCTTTTTCTCGTCTGGGGAGACTGTTGCTCATAGCCCACGGCGCGCAATGAAGAGCAAGAACCAAAATATGGTTTCAGTGCAGCCTCCCGCCGAGAAGAAACGGAAGATTGACGAGGATGCCCCGGAGACTTCGCCCGGTACTCCGCAGGGCAATGGCAAGTCACGCCGACCCATCCAAACACCCGCACGAACTCGAATCATGTCCGAGGGCAAAGAAAATGAGACTCCGTCGTCGACTAGTAGCCGCAAGTCAAAAGAGGCGGCAACTGCCCGACTCCATGAGTATGCCCCGGATCTTGCCTTATACGAAAAGGAAAGGAAACGTGTGGGCGGCGTTATCTACGGCGGTAGGCGCAAGTCAGACGAGGGTCGGGTTCAGGAGAACAAGAAGCGTGCCTCGCTTGAAGCTGAGGACGAGAGCGATGGCGAGCAAGCAGTGGAGACTAAACGACTGAAAAAATCTCGGCCACCAATTGCTATGCACCTTTTGATTACTGGCTATCAGAGATGGGTAGGAAAGGGCAACGAGAAGAAAGAGGATGCAGATAAGGTTTGTTTGGCTACTGCAGTTATAAACATGATTAACTCAAGATCTATGTACTAACATTTTCACAGCGCGGCCTTCGAGATCTCGGTATTATGGTGGTCCAAGATGCCCGACGATGCACTCACTTGGCTGCACCCTCGATCTTGCGAACCACTAAATTTGTCAATGCACTCGCATATGCGCCGATGATCGTGAGCACAGACTTCATCACCAGCTGCCTAACGAAGGAGGAATTGCTTGACCCCTCCGATTTCCCTCTGGAGGATAAAGAAGCCGAGAAGAAGTACAATTTCGACCTCTCTTCTGTCACAACAAACGCAAAGAAGAACAAGAATAAAATGCTGCAAGGCTATCGCATCTATTGCGTCGAGGACATTCGAGGTGGATTTGATGCATTCAAATCTATCGTTGAAACAAACGGAGGAGAGTGCATGCTTTTCCGTGGGCGTCTAGCCATAGCGAACCATTCTCGGCGTGAGGAGAGCGACGAGGAAAGCGAAGGGGAAGACGACAACCCTGCCAGCAAGGATGTCTTTCTTCTCAGCAGCGCCGGAGCTAATCACGGTCGAGTCTGGCCTCGATTCCGCCAAGTGGCGCTCGATATCAAGAAAACTCCACGGATTGTCCGAGTTGACTGGCTTCTGGACATGGCCATGTCGCAAGAGACACGTGCCCCCGACGAATACGAGCTGACCGAGGAGATGATCGAGAACGCAGACCAGTAGACTGATACCAAGGTATTGAGTCCACACCCCTCATCCACTGTGAGCTTCCAGCCCAAGAACATGAAATCTGTGTATAAGTTTAGAGTATCGGCGACGTGATTTAACATGTCTTTTAACCTGCACATGAGTAGCGCTTTGTTTTTGTTACGAATAGCCACGATTTATCACATAGAGAAATCCCAGCATTTCCTCTTGAGCTCTTCAAAAGAATTTAACACCCTCCTGGCCCTCACCACCAAAAATCTGCGCCCTGCCTCTCTTAACCAAGACATTCAGCGAGCGCAGCATGACATCAGCATCCATGCCATAGAACTCTGTAGACGGGGATCAGTATAAACTGTAGGCACTATCACTGAAAACCAAAGGCAGAATCTCACCTTGCGACATAGCCTCCTCCCCATGGATCAGCTCATAGACCGTCAGAACCGATCCCCTCTGCCCAGTGCTATCAACCCACTCAACTAACACATCCGCCCACTCCTCAGGCCTTCTCCACCAAATCCACGCAACAGTCTTCGGCCCCTGCCCAGCACCGTTTACCAAGGTCACTGAAGACGACGCACCGCCAGCATCAGAGATCCACTCCGCTCGCCGCCCACCGCCGCCCTCCTCTTCGCTCTTAGTCATCCAGTCGACGACCTCGCGGGCGTCGCGCAGATCGAGGCGCTTGCGCAGGGCTGTGTTGTGGAAGAGCGGGGTTTCAACGGCTTCTATTAGGGAGAGACGGTATTGGCGGTGGTGCCGGCACCAGGACTGGATTAGAGAAGACCACTTCTCGAGCTGCGACTGGCGGGTGGTTGTGTTTGGTTGCGGGGTGAAGAAGGGGGGAAGTTGTAGGTTGGTGGGAAGGGGAAGGGGGGTGTTGTTGTCGTCATATTGGAGGGGGTTAAAGAGTGAAGAGGAAAGATCTAATAGCAAATAGCTCCAATGATATAAGAAAACACACAAAAGTAGACTGTCGAGAAAAGACAAGAAAGTCGAGAGATTCCATGTGGAGTAAAAGGTGGGGCCGGGATTTTCTCAATTTCGACTTCGGTCTTTTCGATTTCTCGACTTCCCCCTCCCCCAGGTTGCTCTTCATAATGGCCACCCAAAACCCACCTGCAAAGCGCGTCAAGCGTGAAGAATACCGTCGCAAAGTACAGGCCCAGCAGGAATCCACCGATGGCTCCGCCATCAAGATGCCGCAGAAGAAATTCTTCCGCCAGCGCGCGCATGCGAATCCCTTCTCTGATCACCGGCTAGAGTAGTACGTATCCTCCTCTTTTGCCTATTCCACGTCAAACTATTCTTTATGGGAATATCCATGGGGTTCTCGAGCTTCACTGGCGACAATTCCTACGCATCCGATCGCGAACATATAGCTAACTAATACTCTAATAGCCCTATCAGCCCCGCGCATATGGACTGGTCATCTCATTACCCTGCATTCGTGGATCCCGATACAAGCAAAACGAACCTCAGCGGAGGGCGCAAGTTGACCAAGGAGGTCGAAGTCGTGGATATCGGATGTGGATTCGGCGGACTGATGGTTGGCCTGGCGCCATTGTTGCCAGATACTCTGATGGTCGGTAAGTACAGCGCAGCGATATTCAATCCCATACATATCTGCACCCATCCGAATTGAGCACCAAAAAAACCAACAACAAAATCACAGGCATGGAAATCCGAATCTCAGTGCTGGAATACCTCAGCTCTCGCATCCACGCCCTGCGCAGCCAACAACAATGTCTCAAGAACAAAGCCGCGAACCCATCATCAACCGAACCCCAAGATGTCTCGACGCAACCCGAAAACACTGAATCAACCCCGGCCCCAGCCCCAGCCAACGACGACGAAATCGGCACGGAGAAACTCTTCCCAGGAAACTTCGAAAACATCACCGCAATCCGCAGCAACACAATGAAGTTCCTCCCCAACTTCTTTGGCCACCACCAACTCTCCAAGATCTTCATTTGCTTCCCGGACCCGCATTTCAAGGCTCGTAAGCACAAGGCCCGTATTATCTCCGAGTCTCTGAACTCTGAGTATGCATTTGTCCTGCGGCCCGGCGGTTTGCTGTATACCATTACCGATGTCGAGGAGTATCACCACTGGGTCCTGCGGCATTTCCTGCATGGCGAGCAGCCGGAGGGTGGGCCTGCTCCTGCTGCGAGCAGTAAGGATCTGTTTGAGCGGGTTTCCGAGGAAGAGCTTGCTCTTGATCCTTGTGTGCGGGTTATGAAGTTTGAGACGGAGGAGTCGAAGAAAGTTACGAGAAATAAGGGAAACAAGTATGTCGCTGTTTTCAGGCGCAAGGCTGATCCTGAGTGGCCTGCTTGAAAAGAGGGGGGATTAGATATCTAATTAGAGAGGTGAATATGGGACCTCGGGAAGTTGTTGGGATGATTCATCTAAATGATACGATAAAAGAGAGGTGTTTTGAGGCGTTTTTTCCCCCTCCCATTCTAAATGCATTGCCAATATCATGCTTATCGCTAACAATCTTCGCTGGCTAACAAAATACACAACATAAAAAAAAAAAACAACACAAAAAGGAACAAACTCCCGAAATGAACCCCAAGAAAATGGTTGTGGGACACATGCAGACAAATCAAGAATCAACTGATGCAACAATCAAACACCGACATCATGCGTGAATCTATCATAAAAGCAGTAATCTCGTTAAAAAAAAATTGTGGTCGTAACCCCTCAAGTAGATGGTGCAGAAGTCTAGCACATTCCAGGCGCTTTAAGACGGATACCTTCACATCTCTCACAGATAGCCAATTGGACCGGACCGCCGATGATACGGCCCTTAGCTGTTCGCTTGGGCTCGCCTTCACGGACGAAGAACCGGCCCTCCGGACCAAAACCATCGCCACACTCATGACAATTGAAGCAGCGCTCGTGCCACTGGCCGCCAATTGCGCTGATGACAACCTCGTCCATGACATGCTGCTTGCAGCCCAGGCACCGTGGTGCGGTACGGCGCGAGTGGCAGTGGAGACACCATGCGAAGCCGTCTTTCTCGACAAAGGGAGTTTGGGAATCGAAGGGCTATATGAAGAGAAATTGTCAGTTGTCTTGCGTGTGGAAGTATCAGAAAGGAAATTCACGCTTACATCACCGCACTCTGCGCAGAAGAAGTGGCCGACATGCCATTCGGCACCACATGCCACGACCACCTCTCCTTCGATAGGGGTCTTGCAGCTCTTGCAACGGGGGCTGAACATCTCATGGAAATCCAGGTGGCAGTAGAACCGTGGCACACGGGCCTCTTGATCATGAGCCTCAGTTGTTGCTAGTCTCTCATCTCTGCTGGACTCCGGTTCTTGGTAGAAAGCCACGCATTCGAGAGCTGTGTGGCAGTGAAAACAGGTAAAGCACTCGGGGTGGAATCGACATCCGCCAGCCGTCACAATTTTTCCGGAAATGGAAAGCGTACATAGCTCACAGCTTGCAGTTGGAACACCAGATCGTGTATAGGGCGAGTACCAACGGCTCTGCGAACCAGATCCCTGCTGTTTTGGGAAGGCCTGTTTAGTTGGGCTGCTTCTCGTCGGCTGGGGCTCCGGTCTGGTCGGTTGCTTGGAAGGAGCCTCTATCTCGGAGATAGTGGGTACTTTGATGTCCGGGACATTGATCACGGGGATAGGAGGTGGCTCGGAGACTTCGATTGTCGGAGCTGAGACTTCAATAGTAGGTGCTGCCACTTCAATCACGGGTAGGGTTGGGCGATCAGGCTTCGGCTGATCAGCTGGTTTCCATGTTTGGTCAAAGCTCACGATTGGGCGTCCAACTCGATCGCTGACCGCTGAAGGCATTGGTAGCTTTTCGCTGCGATCTCCTCGTCTTTTGCTGGTAGCTGCACGGATATCGTCACTACGTCTCTCCCTTACATCCTGGGTGGCGACAGGTTCATTCTTTTCTTTAGAGGGAGGAGTCGGAGTAGCACGCTCGTTTCTAGTGTAACCCGCGTTGTTCGACTGAGTCGGAGGAGTAGTGCTGTCATTTCGAGTGTAGCCGGCGTTACGCGACTGAGTGGGAGGGTTCTTGTGAATTTCAAACCGGGAGATTTTATCCATGATAGGGCTGCTGTGGGCTCTATTCTGCAGCCAAGGTAACGGCCTAGGAACACGCCCCAGAGCGTTACGCGGTTTGTTCTTCAAGGCTGACGAGTCAGACTTGGAGAAGTCTGGCTTTGCTTCGGGTTCCTTTTGAGTATCAACGGGCTCTTCGTAAATTTGGTCGTTAGGGTTTCTGAAAATCCCTTTAGATGAATCACTGCTGACGGTCCGTGGTTTCAGGGCAATAGGCGGCTCGGCTTCCTCGTCAGGTAGTTTAAAGTTGACTTTGAGATTCTTCTTCGATGGTCCAGCCAGAGATGATCGTTTCCGAATCGACTCCGGGCTTGAGTTACCATCAGAGGAGACACCTGAGCCTGTTGACTGGCTGAATCTATTGGTTGAGGGATTAGATCCTCGCGAATCATTTCGGGCAGGGCTCTGGTTGCCCCTCTTGGCATCGGGGTTTTGGTATGGCGCATAAGGGTTTTTGAAAGCTTGACCAGGGTTCTGGTGCATCCAAACTAATTCTGTGGCCTCATCCTGGGCTGCTTGGTGAAGACCGACATCGTCCTGGACATCCATTTTCTGCAAGGCATCTCGTAGTGACCGTGCCTCTTCCTTTTCGTGTCGTCGTTGACCATTTTCACGATAGGACAGAGCTGGAGATGCCGGGATAGGAATGGTCCGTGCATGGATTTGTGCTGGAAACACGTTCTTTCGGATTGAGTGCGTGCGTGGCTCTTGAGCTAAAGGACGACCCATTGCGCTGCCGCCAGGCACATGGGAATTCGCCCGACGATGGGACATTGCACTGCCTGATCGTCGGTGATCTATAATTTCATCTTCGGCTGGGGCATGCATGGAGAACGCCGAGGATGCCCTTGGCGGAAGGCTATCAGGCAGATCGCTTGTTGATGTGGCTGCCCTACCTGGGTATGGGCGAGATCCTGTCGGGCGGGCAGGACGATTTGCCCGCAAGTCCTTCAAGTACGTTGCTGTTGACTCATATCAGCTCCGAGTCACCCAACATCAAAGAATCACTTACAAACTTGATCATTGGACATGAAGGATGGACCAGGAGGTGAAACCTTCCTCTGGCCAGTGGTATGTTTATGCATCATGGAGTTGCAAGGATCAAGGATGTGAGGAGATATACGGATAAGTACAGGAAAGAGGGACCATGAACTAAGATGAGAAGAGTCTAGTTGCGATCTACACTTGACGGTCTGAGCTGGCTAGCGTCATTGGGCTGGTCCCCTCCCAAACAAACCCCTAGGGCCCGTCGCGAGGCAACGGATGACTCAGCATATATACTCCTATCTGTCGATAAGGGTTTGATTATAATTAACCCTATCAAGCCCTATATTGGACAAGATAGGTGCATATTCAAATATATATCGGATAGTCAATACTTGACAGAGAATCCGCCCTATGGAGACATGTCTCTATTTAAGCTAAGACATCCATTCCTCAAACCTTGGAATGACTCAAAATCCCCCACATCTGCCCAACTGAGATGCGACTGGATTCTCTCCGCATCGGCTTCTCGGCACAAGATTCCCCACAGCCAAGTAACGCTAGCACCTCGACTGAGAACTGCACAGCTACACAGATAGCTGGATGTCAGTGTCTTTCATTGGTCAAATATCGCCGAGTGGAAATGATAAACCACGAGGCTGGCCATCCTTCCTCTATACGAACAATATTCCTCCCATGGTTGGATTCGGCATTCAGTCCGATAATCCGATAATCCGAATAGTCCGAGGACTCCAATTATGACCAATTGATAATCTGATCGAAATCTAGTCCTTTTTTTTTTTGTTAGCGTGAGAACTTAAGTCTCTTGCTTCTTTTCACTACAAGGTACATTCCATGACGTGACGAAAACGGCAACCGGTTTCGGTTTCATTAAAAGAAAATCAAAAGAACAAGCTGGGCTTGTATCTGAGCTATCATGGCAGATAATGTGCCAATTGATATCATTCGTTCCCACCAAGACGATGTAGACCGAGAGAGCGCAAAACAGGAACAGAAGTTGCATCCAAAGTCGGCACCACTTGACGTCGATGAAGATGAAAAATATAAGCGCGATATCGCCCCGGATGGTGGCTATGGCTGGGTCTGTGTCGCCTGTGTTTTCTGGATAAATGCGCATACCTGGGGTATCAATAGCGTGAGTCACATATCTTCGCCTTTTCACTGCTATTTTACTAACAGGCCTAATATCTAGAGCTATGGAGTCTTTCTGAGCTATTACCTCTCAAACGACGTATTCCCCAACACATCTGCTCTATCGTACGCCTTCACAGGCGGCTTGAGTATCTCTTGTGCCCTTCTAGTGGCCCCATTAGCCACCCACATGATCCACAAATGGGGTGTACGACTTGTACTCAACCTGGGCGTCTTCTTCGAAACCCTCTCTTTAATAGGGTCCTCATTCGCAACGCAGAAATGGCACATCTTCCTTAGCCAAGGTGTCTGTTTCGGCTGGGGCATGGGCTTCCTCTTCGTGGGTAGCGTCGGCATCACCCCGCAATGGTTTGACAAGCACCGCGGAGTAGCGATGGGCATTAATGCCGCCGGATCTGGTCTCGGCGGCCTGATCTATTCCCTCGCAGTGGGCGCTATTATCCCGCGCTACGGGTTGGGCTGGGCGTTCCGCATTTTGGGTATCATTTCCTGCGTCGTGAACCTGGTCTGCTGTAACTTGCTCCGGGATCGCAATAAGGCCGTCGGCAGTAGATTCACGGCTTTCCATCTACCCCTCCTACGTCGCCCGGAGTTTCTGCTTTTCCTCGGATGGGGTGTGTTCAGTATGCTCGGCTATGTGGCGCTGTTGTTCAGCGTTGCTAACTTCGCCCTCTCCGTTGGTCTCTCGTCGCACCAGGGGAGTATTGTCTCAGCGCTGCTCAACCTCGGTCAAGGTCTCGGCCGTCCGTTTGTTGGCATGTTCAGTGACCGGCTTGGCCGCATTAATATCGCCACTCTCCTCACTTTCCTCTGCGGTTTATTCTGTCTCGCCATCTGGACTTCCGCTGATAGTATGGGTGTGGTATGCTTCTTCGCTGTTTTGGTTGGCACTGTCGCAGGCACATATTGGGCTACTGTTTCCCCCGTTCTGGCGGAGATTATTGGTATCCGAGACCTCCCTTCCGGCTTAAGCATCACCTGGCTCACGCTTGTTGCGCCTTGCACTGTCTCAGAGGCTATCGCCCTTCAGCTCCGCAGCCATGATATTGGTGGCGAGACTTCATATCTCCGCGTTCAGTTATTTACTGGATTCATGTATTTTGGTGCTTCTTTATGTTTGTGGGTCGTCCGTGGTTGGAAAGTTGGCGAGTTGGAGCGTGCTAAGGGACGCCGTGATTCTGCCCAGCCAAGCCCGTTGACTGGAACTCATGATGGAAACGAGAAGCAAGACCAACCTACGACTATTTCACCGGCCTTGCAGGCCACTGGAACGGATGCTCCGTTATGGGCCCCAGTCAGCTTGGTTCGCAGAATGATCACTTTGAAAAAGGTTTAAATATAATTGCATAGAGCAGAGTACAGATATGGCAGACAAAATGAACATACAAAAATAGACAATCGTCTGTCATTCATTTGATTTGAACGCCGTTTTAATACTAGATCTAATCTACATGGATGTAGTTTTTGCCTCATGCCTCCGTAACCAGAATTCGGACCCTTCTCTTGCCAGCACCACGACCCTCTTCCTTGACGGAGCTGACATTGACACGGACCTTTTGGAAGAGTTCAACAGTCACACTGCGTTCCTTCTCCGGGTGACCCTTCTCTTCCACGCGAAGGGTGTATTCCTCGCTATCAAACTCCGTGGTCCGGTGAGGAGCTAGCTCCCGTCTCTCGGCGACAGAACGAGCTCCAGATTCACCGGGCAGGACGAAGTCCTCCAGACGAACGACACCTTCAATGCCGAAGCGGGGAACGAAAATGACAACACCGTTCTCGAACACGCGCATTACGTATCCTTCTTCTTCAATACCCGCATCAACACCATCGGCGGCCATCTTCTCCCCACGAGCCTTGAGAGCTTGACCGACGTAGTATTCAATACTAGCGCGGCCGGCATGTTGTGCGTTGCGGTGACGGACGTTGATGTTGCGGCAGATGTCTTCAAGCTTGTTGCGGGTGCTGACACCCTCGATGACTGCGTGTCCATCCTCGCCTTCATACCCAATGGCAGAAGCCAATTGGCGGTGAACCATCAGATCGGCATATCGTCGAATGGGCGAAGTGAAGTGGGTGTAGATGGGTGAGGCGAGACCGTAGTGACGGAATTCAGATTCGGTAAAGGCGCCCGCGCAGAAGTATTCGGCAGAGGTCATGCAACGGGTCGCCAAGATACGGACCAGGGTGTTGAAGAATGGGTTCTTGGGATCGACGCAGCGGTCCAAGGAATCAGCCAGAGCTCGCGAGCTGGAAACATCAAGTTCCATGTTCCGCTTCTTAGAGAGTTGGTTTTGGAGGTCCTCGAAATTCTGAGGCGGGGGAGTGGCGTGTCGACGCAGCAAGGCAGTCTGAGAAAAGGACTCGTAGACCTTTGAGCCAACAGTGATGTTGGCGAGAAGCATGAACTCCTCGACCAAGCTATTAGTGTCAAGCATAGCCTTAGTCTTGACGTCCGTCAAAGGATCGCCCACTTCGTCACCCTCAGACTCAATGCGGACTTCCGGGGAGGCAAGGTTCAAGGCACCAGCGTCCATACGCTTCTGACGGAGAACCTTGGAGAATTTCAAGAGGGTGCGCATGCTTTCGGTCAGCTCATCCTGCTGTGATTTGTCGTCAATGCGTAATTGAGCTTGTTCGTAACTGAATGCTTCCCGGGAGCGAATGACCGACTTGGTGAAATTCGAAGACACTATCTCGGCATCAGGTGTAATCTCCCACAGAACCGAGAAGGCATATCGTTCAACATAGGGCTTGAGAGAGCACAGGTCTGTGCCAAGAAGATGCGGGAGCATGTCGATACGCTTATCGACTAGGTAAACAGTGGTTCCGCGAACACTGGCCTCGAGGTCCATTGGGTTGTTGGGCTTGACGAAATGCGACACATCCGCAATGTGGACACCAACCTCAAAGTTTCCATTTGGCAGGAGACGCGCGTGAAGTGCGTCGTCAATATCCTGACAGCCAGGTGGATCGATACTGCAAATAAGCAAGTCTCGAAGATCTTTCCGGCCGTTCCAGCCCTTGTCTTCCTTCGAGACAGGGACCTTCCAATCATGTCCTTCAGATGGAAGGCAGTCCAGTACAGACTTCGGGAACGGCTTGTACTGCACGTCGTATTCAAGCAAGAGAGCCTCGGTTTCGGCGCCCTTGGTTTCGAGCTCTCCCAGAGACCGAATGAAGTGACCAGTAGGGTATCTCGAATCGCGGTCCCAAGAATCAATGGTGACAAGAATACGCTGACCGAGAATCTCGCTAGCCTGTCTTGTGCGTACTCTGATCTTCGGGATACGCTTATCCATAGGCAGTAAGAAAACGTTTTGTTGCCGTCTGCCAGAGGCCTGTGAGCCGGTAGAATTCGAGTCAACATGACCAACATATTGACGCCAGCTGCGCTTGATCACACCAACAACCTTGGCAGTAGGTTGTGGCTTGCCATCCGAGTTTTTGCCATGGGCCTTTTTGACTTCTTCCTGGAGAGCTTTGCGTTCTCTATCCGTCACCACAGCCTCGGTCTCCTCAGTATCAGGGTTATCATTACGGGTCACGGCCTCCTCATCCACAATCTTAGTCGAAGGGCTCTTCCACTGGTCCTTTGGTAGTACTTCGACCACGACAGAATCGCCTGCAATAGCGCGGTTACTGTTATCACGGCCCAAAATGAGAAGAGGCTTATCGAAAGCTGCGGTCTTGACGGAGGCTTCCAGGTAGTTGTAAGGAGAAACATTGAACACTCCTTGGTGTAATGTTCCGGCTCGCAGGCCAGTCGTGAGTTTTGACATTGAGAAGTATTCTGGGTAGAATAGTTCCCCGCGAGCTGTTTCTTTGGCATCTCGCGCATCCTTTGACTCGCTGATCATATCCAGCAACATTTCGGACCCCTCCAAACCGGAGACATAGTCGGATAGCGACAAGGCCGTCACATTTTCTTCCTTACATTTCCGGAGGTTCTCCTTGTCATCAGTTACGACCACAATTGCTGGAATCACCTTCTCTTTCTTTCCCTTCTTCGCTGATTGTTGCAGGTGGGAACCGTACCAGCTTGCCACCATGCGCACAGCGCGATCGTTCCTGTCGTTGATTGTTTCCTCCGGACCTCTCCGAACATGAGTTTCTCGGCGGAACTCATTGAAAAATAGGTAGAAGCGCTTTTCGTCTGACTTGACGAGGGCCAGAAGACGGTTGTAAAGTGGCAGTGATCGGTTTCTCAATTCCTCGAGGACGGTTTGGAGGACAATCACATCGTAAAAGGCCCCGGTGTGCTCGAAAAGATCCATTCCATTAAGCAGCGCATTTGTATCTGGAACAAGGTAGTGGCCTCGCGGGAATGCTGTTGTGCCGGCGGGGCGATCGGATAGGATGAACGGCGCAACTGTTTCGCATTAGCAACTCGCTTGACCATCACCGTGATAAGTTCCTTACTGTTTCCATTGGCGTCGGCTGGCGCAATCGTCGGGCATTGTGAGCAGAGCTTAGAAGAGCAAGGAATATCTTCTCTCAAATAGAGCTCACGGACAATCTTTTGCACCTTTCCACTTTTTGTGGACCTAACGAAGACCTTGCTAGTAACATTTGCGGCCTGCGGGTTAGCAGACAAGTCTCTCCTTAAACTCTTCATTGCGACGATACGATTCCACCGTCTAGCAGTTGCTAAATCTGTCAGAACCTGTGTGTCTTGTGAAAGTTCCGAGGTGAGAGTCTTGGCGGAAGAAAGGTTATCGCTGATTATCGCGATAACTAGCTGAGTCAGCATACGGGCTCGTCACTTTGGGGTCGAAAGATGCCATTTGATTGCTATAACAAGTACTTTCTCAGTTTATTTTCGAAGTCTTTTTTGGGTTGCTTTCAGAGTCTGAAAATTTTTAACTATGGTTTTAGCGGTATATGCACCATCCATCAGGCGTAAACCACACGACTAACGATCTGCTTTGATATAGGCCGTGGGGCAGCTATGCTCGACTAGCAACATAACTTCGAATCTAGCTCAGTGCAAGGTGTTGGTTCGAAAAGCCGCAGCAGCAGGTGCCAAGGTGATATTATATATACTCTATTGGTAACTCTCTGATAGACAGCTCATATATTTTAGGTGCTATTTCTTCCAGAGGCATCGGACTATATCGCATCCTCGGCAGAGCAATCCTACTCACTCGCCCAATCCGAAGAGAGGACTAGCTTCGTATCATCTCTACAGAGAGATGCTGAGGAACAGAACATCCACATCAGTGTTGGAATTCATGAAGTAGCTTCTGAAACCAGGCTCAAGAATTTATTGATTTGGATTGATGATAAGGGAGCCATTACTCAAACCTACCAGAAAGTCCATCTGTTTGACGTTGATATCAAAGACGGACCTGTACTCAAGGAGAGCGCGTAAGAGGGGTTCACTTAAGATCCGACAGTTGACTTATAATTCGCTAACCTTGAACCGTACAGGAGCGTCCAGCCGGGGCAACAGATTCCAAGGCCATTTGACACCCCCATAGGGCGTGTTGGTCTAAGCATTTGTTTTGATGTAAGTACAGTGCATTTTGATATCACATCAAAATCAGCCGGTTCAACGTCTTACTCATGCTGGATTATCTAGTTGCGTTTTCCAGAGATCAGCCTGGCATTGAGACGGCAGAATGCTGAAATCATCACCTACCCATCAGCATTCACTGTTCCAACGGGCAAGGCCCATTGGGAGCCCTTGCTCCGAGCAAGAGCTATTGAGACCCAGTCATACGTGATTGCAGCGGCGCAGGCAGGCCCCCATAATGAGAAGAGACGAAGCTACGGTCATTCTATTATCATCAACCCGTGGGGTGAAGTGGTAGCAAAACTGGAAGATGAGCATCAGGAACCACAAATTGCGACAGCCGATATTGACCTGGATCTTGTAGCAAAGATTAGGCGTGAAATGCCGTTGCTCCGGAGAAATGATCTATATCCAGAGATTTGAGAACCCAATGTGAATATGTGAACAGCAAGGAGGCGAATGCCAGTCAGCCTCTTTTTTTCTAGTACATTTTTCGAATAGTCTATGAGATACCCCTGGTCCCTGGTTCTACATAGGGAATTCGATTTTATAAATTAGGCCGTTTCCCGCCATTTCCTGCCGTGAAACTGAAAAGGGGGCAAAAGATCCGTAAAAAAAAAAGATATCTAAAAGGGCTACCAAAAACACTAACCAAAAGGACGTCGCAAGTCCGCATATGCAGCCGACTATCCTTGCCAACTTCATGCCGTTAACTTGGATCATTTCATGATGTGCTCAGTGCGTATTATAAGCATTTTGTTGCGACCGGAGCACCTATAACCAACATGACGGAAAGAAACTTCGAAAAGTGTAAAGTGATA